TGTAATCCCTTCTCCTCCAGTCTCCTCTCAGGATTGGGCACACATGCACATGCACCTGGTGTGATTTTCAAGCTGATGGTGCGGTAGAGGCTGTTCAGGTTAGGCAGCTCGGGAAAATAAGGATCAAAATGGAGTACCAACTATAACCTGCTGGAAAAATAACTTTCCTACCTGCTCTCTGTCCCTCAGGTCCACATCTATACTGTACTTCTGAGGCATACAAATACAACAATGAAGGGGCAAGGACTCAGGACAGCTCCTCAGTTTGGAATTTTAAGTGCTTGGACCTACTGGAAATGATAGACCAATGAACTTAAGTGCATGGGAAAAATTTTTTAGAGAATTATTTTATTTAACTATATTTAATTAAATTTGATCAGAGAGGGACAGAGCAAGAGAGAGGAAAAGCGAGAAAGCCAACCACCAGGTCCGGACTCGAACCATGATTGACCATGTGGGAATCCAGTGCCCTTAACCACCATACCACCTGGCGGCCCCATGAATGGGAAATTATGGCTCCAAAAATAGTCCACTCTAAGACCATGCTTAGGGCCAAAGGACAGTCTTACACCTTATCTAAAAAAAAAAAAGGCAAGGCAGTACGGGCTACAATTAAGGACAAAGGGTACACATACCACAAACCTAAAGGATACTGTAAGACAGGAACTCTAAGGACATAGGGTGTAGGCCCAAGACGAAATCACAGAATGGCTAAGTTCAGGGACAAGGACACAACGGCTCAGCTGTCACTGAACTGCGCTCTGAGAGACAGCTTGCAGCAGTGACTTTATGAATGACCTTAAAAGAGAGATTTTTTTCCTGGTCCCACCACATTCCAGAATAAAGGTAACGGTCCTTTATGGCCCAAAGCTTTTAGGTAAAGAGAGTCTCCAAAATTAGGAAGAATAACCAGCTCCATTCAGCACGTACCCTCCCCCCACCATGAGGAAAACACATGCACCACCTGGGAACAAGCAAGGACAAAGCCCCTCGGACCCAGACAGAAAGCCCTCACCTCAGCTCCTCATCAGCAGCCCACTCTCACTGCTTGGGAGCTCTGTTCTACCTTCTCTCTCTTTTTAAAAAATTTATTCATTTACTTATTTTTGGCCAGAAAGAGACACACAGAGAAAGATAAAGTGAGAAAGCAAGCCACCAGGTCCAGGACTTGAACCATGGTCAGCCATGTGGGAATGTCAAGCGCCTTAACCACCACACCATCTGCTGGTTCCCCTTCTCTCTCTTAATAAACTCTGCTTATTTACCTAAGCCCATGTCTCTAATTCTTTGTGAGCTGCAATCAAGAACCCATGTCTGCTACGGGTGCTAGGCCTGATTACCCCAAACCCCCATGTTCCCTCTGTCATTGAGTCCGAGACTCAAAATGTGGTTAGCTATGTGGAAATCCAGCACTTTAACCACCTTGCCATGCTACTCTTAGATGCTACTCTAATCACTGCATTTAGCACGTGTCAGCTGTTCTATGAAAACTTCTTCGAACCTACATTGTGTCTAGCACACGTCTCTGCCTCGATCCAGGACAGTGAGCTGCACTGATAGTCTTTGTCAGACGATAAATGCCTTTCATATTCATTGTTGATTCTCTGGCACCCAGGACTATTCCTGACATCATTTCAAGTGTTTGGGGGAATGAATGAATGAGTAAATAATACATTAATCCAGCTAAACCAGGGCTGGAACTCTTGCAAGAGTAAGCTTGTACCTCAGGGATTGCCTAATAGGTGCTCCTGGTACAAAAAGCAGAAAGGAGTTTTTCTAGTCGCTTCTGTGTTCCTCAAAGGCAATTCCAAGGATGACTACAATCCCTACGAGTGGACCTAGTGCACCAAGAAACTCCGTTGCCTTAAATATTATAATTCGTGTGTATTCTAAATGGTAGATTGTAGATGAATGAGAAGAGTTCAGAGAGAGAGGGAGATGCATATTAAAGACCTAAAGAGAGCCAGGCAGTTGGCTAGCTGGAGCTCAGAATGAGATTCCGTGTGGAGACGGGGGTTTGGGAGTCTGTGTAAGGCACAGATACTGGGAGCCATGGGGCTAGATGTACTGACTCAAGGAGAGAGGACAGAGGAGGGCCAAGACCCAGGTTCTGACCCACAACGGCGAGACAGAAGAGACAGAAGAGAGGCAGCTGGCATAGGTGACAAAAGAGGTGGCTGCGAAGGAGAAGGCAAATAGAGCAACTGTACCCACAGACAAGGGGAGATGGTAAGAAGAGGTGTGCGTCAGCACACGAGAAAAGATCAACGAAGTAAAGGGACTTCAGACACTGAGACAGCAGGGTCTTGTGAGGACAATACAAAATGGTATGTATAGCATGGTTCTCTCAAAAAAAGGTGTGTGTGTGTGTGTGTGTGTGTGTATGTGTGTGTATAAATGTTTATACAAGGGACCAGCAGATGGTGTAATGGTTACATCGCTGGACTCCCACATAGTCCCGCTGTTCGAGTCCCAAACTCAGTGGCTTAAAACTCATGCTGGGCATGTGTGCGTGTGACCAAGATCCCAAAGAGGAGAATGGAAGAGAAGGGACTGTAGCGTGGCCATCCCCCCAAGAGGTGATTTCTTACTTTCTGTTTCTCTGTCTCTCCGGTGAGTACGTGCACCCTCTAGCAAAAATCTCTCTAAAAAAATTTAAAATAAAAAAATAAATAAATAATTCTAAAACAGAAAAAGTAAAAGTAAAACATAATGCTACTGATCGTAATTGTGGTAAGGAATATTTTCCTGTGGTAAATCAGAGAATTCAGAAAATCTAATTGATCCTTAGAGACTCAAACTGTTCAATTGAAAATCTGCATGACAATCGGACCATGCAATTTCTTAGCCAAGATTATCTGACTATCCCACTATGTATTTCTTTTTTTCTTTCCTTTATTTTTTAAAAGAGATTTTTGCTATAGGGTGTGTGTACTCACTGGATAGACAGAAGAGAGACAGAAAGACAGAAAGTGAGAAATCACCACCACCACCACCACCACCCCCCCGAGGGCATGCAATCCCTATTCCATTCTCCTCTCGAAATCTTGGGTACACACCCACACATGCCTAGTGTGAGTTTAAAGCCAAGAGGCCCAGGACTTAAACTGCAGTCAACTATGTGGGAGTCCAGTGACATAACCATTATGTCACCTGCTGGTCCCCCACTGTGGATTTATGACCTAGACTCTCAATCAACATTTAGAGGTATAGATGTCTTTATTATGTATATAGTGAATAAAAAGTCCATTTTTATCTATGGTTACTGGACTAGAAGGAAATTTTTATTATCGTTATAGTAAACAATGTAACATGTCAAAGATCCTGTTGTTAATGATGAAGACCATACTCAGAAAAGGAATTCGAGCCTTTCCCTCTCCCTACCCCTTAGTAAAGTGAACTTCCAATGGTGGACCTATATGAGTGGTTTTCGGAAAGTTCATGGAAAAATGTGTATTATGAAAAAAAGCTATACATGGATTTCAGACCCTTTTTTTGGTAAAATAAACTTGTCCTTCCCAGAGAGAGTGTGAGAAGGAGAAAGCACCTCCAATGACGTGTGATCAATGGCACAATCTTTTCTCCTCCCGTCTTTCCATTTACTTTTTGAAGTATTTTTGAAGCTTCTGGAAGAGACAAACCATGTCCTAAAAGGTATCCCATGAACAAAAAGCTGCTACCGAAGTTTTACCATATCTGTTCAACAGTTGAACCAATTCAAAGGCAGAACCAATTCAAAAGGTAGAAGCAATTCCAGTAAAATAACTTTAGTTCATTGTTAGCATAAAGGAAGACATTATTGAAGAGATTAAGCATATCTCTAGCATTTGAGGAGGGTCAGTCAAAATAAACTTATAAAAGTTCAAGTATAAAAAGGGTTAACTTTTTGGGACCAGCAGTTAGCATAATGGCTATGTTGCTGGACTCCCACATAGTCGACCGTGGTTCAAGTCCTGGACCCGGTGGCTTAAACTCACGCCGGGCGCGTGTGCGTGCATGCCCAAGATCCCGAGAGGAGAATGGAGGAGAAGGGATTGCGGCGTAGCCATACCCCCAGGGGGTGATTTCTCGTTTTCTGTCTCTCTATTTTTCTCTGACTGTCTGGCGAGCCCATGCGCCCTATAGCAAAAACCTCTCAAAAAAAATAAAATAAAATAAAAAGGCTTAACTTTTTTATAGTTGAACCCAGTTACATGAAAATCTGGAGGGTTTGGAGAAGACGCTGCTAGCCTAGGTCAAAATTGGGGAGAAAAAAGTGGGAGGGGGCATAACCAAATTGATTTGGGTATTTTTTTGTTTGTTTGTTTGTTTGTTTTTTGTTTTAAATTGCCAGAAAACACATGGACTTACCAGAGAGGGAGAAGGAGAAAGCACCTTCCAATGAGGTGTGATCAATGTCACAATCCTTTCTTCTCCATTCCCCATTCTATTAATTTGGGGAACACATGCACATGCACTCAATGCGTTTTTCAAGCCACCAGGGCTGGGATTTGAACCTTGGTTGGCCAAGTGAGATCTAGCTTCTTTAACTATTACTCTACAGAGCTGGCCCAATTTTGTTTTTTATATAAATGTAAAAATGATTTCCATATCCTTTAAAATACTAAGAAATTAGATATTCTTAAAATATAAGGCTAGAGAGAGACCAGCAGTTAGCGTAATGGCTATGTCACTGGACTCCCATGTAGTCGACCGTGATTCAAGTCCCAGACCCAGTGGCTTAAACTCACGCCAGGCATGTGTGCATGTGTGCCCAAGATCCCAAGAGGAGAATGGAGGAGAAGGGATTGCGGTGTGGCCATCCCCCCTGGGGGGTGATTTCTCACTTTCTGTCTCTCTGTCTTTCTGGTGAGTGCAAGCGCCCTATGGCAAAAACCTCTCCAAAAAAAGAAAAATATATATAAGGCTAGAGCTATATTGTTAAAATATAATTCTGACTAGATCTAAGATAATAAACTAACAATGACATCTTAAACACTGTGAAGAGAACAGTAACTTACAGAGTCTGCGGTGGTCCCCAGCCCATCATAATACATTACTCCTAGCTGGTAAATTGCTTGATGATCCTTCTCCTTGATCTCTTCAAACTGTACTAATGCTTCTTCATACCATCCCTGTAAACCCCAGGAAATATTTGTTTTTATTATGATCTCAAAGTAATTCCCCACTGAGGCACTAAGAGGTTATCTTTGCTCAAAGATACACAGTGGACAAGCAGTACAACTGTATTCGAGCCCATGCCCAAAGCTGAGATCACACTGTCAGCCATTATGCAATGCTGTCCTCAGCGTGACAAGCATGTGATGAGTCCGCAACAAATACTAATTTCTAGGACAAATGCAGGTGCCCTTGAAAGGTAAGAGAGCAAGGGGACTTGGCTGAGTAAGTGTCCAGATAGTCAAAGGGTTGTGAGAGATAAAGATTGTCACCTTCCCTTAGGGTTTGATGAAGAATTGAAGTTGGGATAAAGGTTGGCACTATTCCTCCTAGGTCAACTTCCCAGCCTGTCACAGCATAATGCGAGGAAGAGGGCAATTCCCTCCTCATTCTATAAATACACAGAAGCACAGAAAGCTAGCTTTAAGTGCTAGGTAAGAAATGGGATTTTTGATTGCTGTCAATATGAAACTACTTTATAAATTGTATTAAATTTTGAGCAAAATATAAAAATTAGGTTTTTAACTTAGTGTGAAAATGAAGTTTATACCAAAATGACTCTCATAAGTGACATTCGTTAGAATGACTTTTGTGAAGAAATATATTTCTCCTTAAGCTGATAACAGTGTATACACACAACCATGCCCATGACTCATGTAATTGGACAGAATTTCCCCAGTATAACGATGTAAGGAATGCTACATAAAATTTTGCTATGAAGATCTGACAAGAGAATTACAGGACATGAAAATAAATAAACAAGAGATGATACCTCTTCAAAATATAGTTGGCCTCGTAGGAAATATGCCAGAGTGTCCCCTCTTCTTATTCTGTCCTTTAAGAGCTGCAATGCCTTATCCACCAAACTAGCGTGGCTGTAATGATCTGATTTTACAAAGGTAAAGAACCCTATCTTTAGCCATACAATGTAAATTTTTCTCTCTTAAACTAAGAAATTATATACAGTAATCTGACACTATTAATACTAGTTTCCTTCTGAGTTCTCATCCCCCCCAAAAAATGGCCTCCTTAGCTCAAGGAAAAAGCGTTTCCTAAAATAAGACTTTATTACAGTACTTAACACAGTGCCTTGTATAATCAATACATTTTACTGATTGGCTTTCAGAATAACCCTGTTCATTGTAGGTACAAGCTCTAGCAATGGAGTCTACGTCCACGCATTGATTTTTTTCTTTGGTCAAAGTTGTCTTATGGCTGAGTTAAAGTCTTAATTTGAGCCTTAATTAGAACCACTCTGATCAAGTAGATTAAAACCATCTCCAATTTAATTTAAGTCCATAGGAAAATGTAGCTTTAAAGGTCAAGTTCAAGTAAAGCATGGTATTATGCTTTTTAATGAAAATTATATCTGTCATTTTTTTATTCTCAGGATAACATTATTAGTATTACATTTAATTACTGTACATCTTTACAGCATACACAATGGACTTTGCACACATGAGTGCACTGAATATTAGTCCAGTCAAAGCTATTGCCATAGACATTATCATCACAGGTAATATCTTTTCTTTTCTAGAAGTGTGTCTTTAAGTCCTGATAGTAAAATCAGGATCAGGATCTGATTGTGAGAATTCTCCATTGATGATTTGTTACCAGATAAATTAAGTAGTGATTTCACAGATTCTTGAAGAGAAGCTAGGAAGAACTGGAAAATTGACTGTTTCCTTGAAAGCAGTAGGACTCCTATTTCCTGTCCCTTTTACTCTAATGTACATAGTTAACTGTTAGTGAAAATATTTTACAAGAGAAGATTAAATGTCACGATTGGTACCCGTCTTTTCTTGTTTCCATTGGAAGATTTTGGGGTGCTTAGCAGCATACTGGGATATACTAGGATAGAAGGGGTTCTTGGGTAACTTTTCACTGGTCAAGTTCATCCTGTTTCCACAATGTGTATTCTGTAAACAAGAATAAAAAAAAAAATAAGATGATGGAAATTCCATTCTCTAGAAAGGAAAACAAAGAGGCTGCATTTCTACTGGTACTCATTATGAAAAGTATCCTCTCCTTATCGCCTAGGGGTAGGACACCAAGCTATCAGCGCTGAGATGTGACTATTCTTCCCTGGGAAACCAGGACCTTGATAACTAGGAGATATCACCTCCTCCACGTGTCTGTTTTCACATCCTGGGATTAATGATGGAGCTATTTGTGAGCTTCATCTATGAATTCACACACCTCAACGAGTCCTGTCACCCACCTCAACTGCTGCCCCTTAGTGGGACTGATGGCACTGCCCTAGATACAGTTCCTGTGCACTGGTACCTTCCTGTAGCCTGGTAACTAACTAAAGCTCACCAGAGTCCTCCATTTCCAGTCAAAGCCTTTGCCTATTTTACCTGAGGATACACCTTGTTTTAGCTGTGTTGCTCAGTTTTCTCTTCCCGTCTGTATTGGATTGCCATGTTATAAGATGGATCACTGTTGAGTGGTAAATCAGAGCCTTCATATAAAATGGAGAGGCCACCTCATTTAGGGTGGCAGGGTCCAGGTTGGCCTAGGCTGAGGGTAGGGAGACAGCAAACTCAGTTGTTGCTATGCCTTTCTGTTTACTCCTTGGTATTCTACTGTTACAGCTTATATTCACCAATCAGGAACAAGTTTGCAGAAAAGGTTCCTGATTGGTGGTCAAGAGAGGAACTCAAGACACCCTTAATGTGATTGGAAAGCTGCATTTATATAATTACATGATACTATTTTGCACCATAGATTGCTTCATTAATGAGAAGGAAATGCAGAAAGGGGAGATAATACAGTATATTAGGAAAACCACTGCACTATCTGTGATTTTGGAAGAGTTGCTTAATCTTCTTATTTATTTTATTTATTTTTCTAGAGAGATTTTTTGCCAGAGAGACAGCAAGAGATAGACCAACAGAAAGTGAAAAATCACTCCCACTCCAGGGGGGATGGCCACATCACAATCTCTTCTCCATTCTCTTCTTGGGATCTTGGGCACCCATGCACCCATGCCTGGCATGAGTTTAAGCCACTGGGTCTGGGACTCAAACTGCAGTCCAGAGACCTAGCCATTATACAATCTGCTGGTCCATTTATTTATTTATTTAAGACAGGGTTTTCCATGTTATCATCTTCCCACCTCAGCCTCCCATCTGGGACTACATGCATGCTTTCTCCAACCTCTCTCTGTCTCTCTCAGTCAGGGGCTGGCTGTATTGCCCAGGACAGCCTTAAGCTGACTATCATCCTGCCTCACCTCCAAATTGCTGGAGTTACAGATACATACCATCACACCTGGCCTATTGGTTGGACCAGGAATCAAACTGACCTCCCATGCACTCTCATGCAGTCCCAGTCTATAAGAACAGTGTCTTAGGGCCACAGCAGCTGCACCTGGGTCACCTAATCTTTATTTTTTTAAAGAATTATTTAATTTTATTTATTGATTCATTTATTTTAATTTGACCAGAGAGAGACAGAGAGAGAGAGAGAGAGAGAGAGAGAGAGAGGGAAAGCAAGGAAGCAAGCCACCAGGTCCAGGAATTGAACTGTGGTTGCCATGTGGAAGTGTCCAGTGCCTAAACCACCATGCCACTTGCTGGTCCTGGTCACCTAATCTTTTAAGAAGTTTATTTCCTCTAAATAGAAGTAAGAGGACACAAAACAACTAGGAAAAAAGCATAAGTCCACACATATTTTAGTGATTATGTGTCTACTTTCTGGATTCGCAGAATATATAGAAGAACTGATTCTGTTATAGTTATCAATATACTCTGGGATGATTTCAATCCAGAGATCAGGTGCTAAAATATATGAGTAAAGATCTTTAATAATTGCTTATCATCTCAAAGTGTGGCAACAGTGGAGAACAGAAACAGAAGCATAAAAGGAAGTGACAAACGTGTAACAACAGAAATGTAAATGGCCTGCTGTCCTAGTGACTACTGAGTCACGCCAAATAGAAAATAGACTCATCTTTTATAAAATAATCATGCGACCAGCCAGAGCATGGTAGGTAAGGCAGCTGCATCCCACATGGCTAACTGCTCCGTTCAAGTCCAGAACTCCACAGCTTGAAAACGTGTGTGTGTGTGTGTGTGTGTGTGTGTGTGTGTATGCGTGTGTGTCTGTGCCCTAAATCCCAAAAAGACAAAGAGAGGAGAAAGGATTGCAGCAGGACCATTCTCTGTGGGAGACACTTTTTCACTTTCCCTTCTCTCTGTCTCCAGTGACACACACAGCCTCCGCCAGATTAAAAATAAACAAATAAATAAATAATAATAGATAGATAGATAGATGGAGACCAGCAGATGACATTCTGTTTACATCGCTGGACTCTGACGTAGTCAACTGCAGTTCAAGTTCCTGACCTGGTGGCTTGAAAGTCACACCAGAAACGTGTGTTTGTGTGTGTGTGTGAGTGTGTGCCCAAGATCCCAAGAAGAGAACGGAGGAGAAGGGATTGCGGTGTGGCCATACCCCTAGGGGGTACATTCCCACTTTCTATCTCTTTGTCTCTCTGGTGAGTACATGCACCCTATGGCAAAAATTTATCTGAAACAAACAAACAAACATGAGCAGACCCACAAGACTGCTTGTCTCCACCCCATCTCCTTAGACAACTTACAGGGGACCGACCGTAACACTACCTCATCCTGTCAAGCATGAATTTCCTTCAGTCTTGTCTTCAGAAGTTGCGTCTTTCTCAGAGAAGACACATATTTCAATTTAGAGCAAGACAGAAGACATGTTCAGAAAAGACAAAGTGATATTTTAATTGTAATCAGAAGCAGAACAAAAATTCCTGGGTCACTATCATTATACAGGGATATTTTAGAAGTCCTGGTCAAAACAATAAGGCCAAGGCAGAAAGAATATGAATTTAAAAATGGAAGAAAGAAGAAGAAGAAGGAGGAGGAGGAGGAGGAGGAGGAGGAGAAGAAGAAGAAGAAACTTGGATAGGCCAGACACTCAAGAGTCTTGGGGGGATATGTGGAGTTGAGTTCATTTCATTTAAAGCTAAATTACTATCCCAAGGTCTCACGGCACAGCTAGCAATGCGGATGCCAGTGAGAGCAGACCCTGAACTTCTCTCTCTGTGGCACGTTTAGCACAACTGTCACAGATTACAAATGCAGTGGAAGAAATTCTGTGTTCTGAATTTTTGCCGGTGAGATAAAGGAGTTTAGAAAATACCTCTCAACCGACTTGCTGTAAAATCTGTTGTCTTACTGTAATAGTCTATTTCAATATCAGAAGTTAAATGGGATCTTTTTCTCTTCTCACATGTGCTATAAAAATTCTCATCCTTCCACTGCCTACCCTCAAGAAAAATGAGTGTAATGGATATCTGGGATTGATCAGGGATTGTATAAACAAATATAAGAGAAAAGCACAGAAATTTATGTAAATATATACCTGTAAGGTGTGGGGAAAAATGAAAACTGACTTTTTATTTTTTGGAGAGGTTTTTGCTATAGGGCGCGTGTGCTTGCCAGAAAGACTGAGAGAGACAGACAGAAAGCAAGAAATCACCCCCCAGGGGGATGGCCATGCCACAATCCCTTCTCCTCCATTCTTCTCTCGGGATCTTGGGCACGCACACACACATGCCCGGCATGAGTTTAAGCAGCCGGGTCCAAGACTCGAACCATGGTCGACTACGTGGGAGTGCAACGACATAGCCATTACACTAACTGCTGGTCCCCCAAACTGACTTTCGATAGGCATACAATTCAAGTGGAATGAGACCATGTAACTAAGTGAACTAGAGAGAAGCCTAAGGCCTTCTAACTGTGAGTACCATGGACAGTCAGGGTGTCTCACAGAGTGCAGTGTGTTGGTTAGTCAGACTAAATATTGGGTTGTTGGAAAAGTCATGATGTGTTTTTCTATGCAAAAACACATCATGACTTTTCTTTTTTCTCCTTTCTTTTCTTTTTCTTTCTTTTTAGAGAGAGTCTTGCTATAGGTCATGTAGGGTTGCCAGAGGGACAGAGACAGAGACATAAAGCAAGAAATCACCCCTGGCGGGGGGGATGCCCATGCTGCAGTCCCTTCTCCTCCTTTCTTCCCTTGGGATTTTGGGCACACAGGCACATGCAACAGACATGAATCCCAAGCTGCCTGGTCTGGGACTCAAACTGCGGTCTACCACGTGGAGCCCAGCAACGTAATCATCATGCCACCTGCTGGTCCCATGTCGTGAGTTTTCTGGTAACCCAATAGTTACCAGAACTTGGTGACTGGTTATGAGACCTTTGTGAGGTTGTGTTTTATTGGTTTAATTAAAACTAACTTCATACTGGTTCATGTATCTTCTGTTTTTATTTTATTTATAAAGAGTGCTTACTTAAAAATGAAGCTAAGTATTTTAGTAAACAAAATGTCTTTAATAGCTACAGCCTACATAAAGACATTTTAGGTCATCAAGAAAAACACGTCATGACTTTCCCAATGACCTAGTGCATAAATAGTTTCTTTTTTTCTTTTTTTTGTGAGAGATTTTCACTATAGGGCATGTGCGCTCGCCAGACAGACAGAGAGACAGAAAGCGAGAAATCACCCCCCAGAGGGGATGGCCATGCCGCAATCCCTTCTCCTCCATTCTCCTCTCAGGATCTTGGGCACACATGCACACGCGCCCGGCGTGAGTTTAAGCCACTGGGTCCAGGACTCAAACTGCGGTCGACTACGTGGGAGTCCAGCGACATAGCCATTAGGCTAACTGTTGGTCCCCGCATAAATAGTTTAATTCTAAATTGTCTCAAGTCCTCTTTTTTCAAAAACAAACTTTGTGTTTTAGAATAATTTGAGATTTACAGAAAAGTTGCTGAGATACTAGACGGTTTCCCCTGCTTTTTTAACAACATTCCATGATTATGGTACACTTGTCATGGCTAAGAATCTAACACTCGTACATTACTATGATCTAAAGCCCTACACTTCATTAGGATTTCACTCTTTTTCCCCACTTACATCCTTTCCTGTTCCAGGATTCCATCCAGTTTACCACACTGTGGTTTGATTAGTCATCACATTTCCCTAGCTTCCTCTGGTCTTTTAGTTTCTCTCCTTGTTTTTTCATGATCTTCAGTTTTGTCCTGTAGAATGTCTACCAATTGGGGTTTATCTAATGTTTTATTCATGGCTACATGGATTTTGCTTTTTTGTTTCTGGTGGAGGGGGTCTATCGCAGAGATGACGTGGCCTTCTCATCACATCGTAGCAAGGGTTTATGCTATCAATGACTTACCACTCAAGATGTTAAAAATGTCATGGCCAAGGTAGTAGTTGGCAGATTTCTCCACTGTAAAGTTCTTTTCCCCCTTTCCTATACTCTTTGGAAGCAGGTAATTTTTGCATACTCTATACTCTAGGAGGTGAAGTGAGAGGAGGTTAATTTCTACCTCCTGCAGGGGGCAGTGTCCACATGAAGTATTTGGAATTCTCCCCTTACCTACTTACTTATATCACTATGACTCATGGCTATCTATTTTATGAAATTATAATCCAACAGTACATTAGTGCGTTGAGCAAGTATTTCTAATTCTAGCCATCAAGAACTCTTCAGGCTGACTCCTCTGTCCCTTAGACATGCCCCTATCCTTTGACTATTTAAGCATTTCTCTACTTTCTAGAACTATAAGATTCTCTAGGCTTATATTTTCCCTGTACCCAGCCCTAGAAGTCACAATTTCTCCAACTCCCTGGTTTTTAAAATTTATTATTTATTTAAAAGAATTTTATTGGAGAATGGTATTACAAACTAAGATATGAGTGCTGGATATATTTATGATTCCTGTCACTGCTGTAGGCCCTTTCAAGGCAGCCAGAGCTAGGAAACGTAGGTATAGGTGTGTGTAAACACATACCTGTCATTATTTCTGCACTTACTCATCTGAATCTGTATTACGCTCACTATGAATTCTTACTGATGTCTGGTAAATCCGGTCCCATATGATTCACTTTAGCCTTCTCTACTTACTTGTCTGTAACTTCCCTAACTTGGTTTAATTGTAAAAACTAACCTTCTATTCTTTTCCCTACTTCCTTCAGTTTTATAAATCTATCATCTGTAATTTCTATGACATTTCATTGAAAGGAACATATTGCTAAGAGGAGAAATGACAAAATATTGAAACATCCTCTACATTTTCCAAGTTCTTACCAGAACAATGAAGTGAAATTGATTGATTTGTTATTTATTTTGAGACTATCAGAGCCCTTGGGATAAAAGGTGCTCAGGAAATAAAACATCACCTAAAGAGGATGAATATACTTTATTTTTTTGCCACAATTTTCTGTTCGTAGTAAGTATACACTTTATCCCCTTTCCCTAACTGGTAAATAGGAGAAAAGAGAAATTGACAATGCAGATGTATGTTCATTGCTTACCGGCAGTGTTATTCTTTAAATACCATAACAAGGTATTGTTAATAGCTTAAATGTCAAAATACAGAATATAAGCACATGTCATAGTTATTTATCCATTAAAAAAAAGCACTTAAGACTTGCCATTTTAACTGCTGTGGTGTGTGCTAAAATGCTGTGCCCCACGGGCTGGGGCCACATAGGCCTGGGTTTGAATCCTTCTCTAATTTCAAGTCCAGGAAAGGTGGAAGGTACCTGAACTCCCAGCTATTCCTGAGGTTGAGGCAGAGGTTCCTCCACCAAGAGCTGGCCCCTGGAGCTGGCCTGGTGACACAGACATAGCTAAGGGGTAGCATGCACCTGTGGGCCCAGCCCGAGGCCGAGGCAGGAGGATGGTGACAGGGAGACTGCCTTAATAACAGCGGCAAAACTACTCTTGGATCACTGCAAAGATAACATACATTTATGACTGCAGATTATTTTAGGACTATTACTACAAAATAAATAATACACAGTAACCAAAATTATAACTAAATGCTAGTTAGTTTTAGAAGACAAGCAGTTTGTCTTCTAAAAGCATAATAAACAAACCTATTCTTCAGTCCTGCTTCCAGAGGTCTGAGTGGACGGAAGGGAGCCAGTGAGGGTTTTAGAAGGGGCATAGGCTAGAGCTTTCTGGTGTTTGGCCAGATTAACCTGAAAAGTGTTCAGGCAGAGCGTGAAAGGAGTAGCTATGACACTAGTGCCAACGATCAGAATTCTGTTTCCAAGGTTCTACAAAATGCCCTAACTTAAGCTAAATATTACAAAACACATCAAAAGACCCATTTCCTCTTCCCACAGGGCAACGACTCTCCCTGACCAGGTCGCCTCTTCCTCTGCGAGCGCTCAGTGAGGACAGTCCCAGACTTCCTCCTCCTCTATGCCATCCTTACAGCCACAGGTCCCGCTGCCTTTTACCCTGTCCCGGGAGCGATGCCGATTTCACAGCAGTTCCCAGTGCACACTGCATCATGTTGAACCCGAAAGGCCTCATTTGGTTTGGGATTATCCTTTTAGCGTCACGTTAACCGGCGCTCCAACGCCTCAGCTTCTCGTTCCCCCATCCTAAATTCCCCAGGCCTCCGAGACAGGCCAGGCGAGCCGGGCGCTTGCGAACGTGAGGAAGGAGGAAACCCGATTCCTTCCAAGCTGGGCAGGTGCGGACGGGGCGCCCACACCGCGGACGGCGGCTCCCCAGGCTGTAAGGCGAACGGCTGCTTACAGCGCCCTCGTTTCCTGGTTACGTGCGTGCAGGCAGAAACCAGAACCTTCGCCCGCTACTCGCGCTTGCCCAGAGGGACTAAAGGCTGGGCACGCTAGTGTGCGACGTGTCAACCGGAGCGCGCCCCATGGTGGCTGCCAGCCCGCCACCGCCTCTGCTCCCGCCCACCGGCCAAGACTGAGCACGCGCGCTGAAGCCCTGTGGGGCATAGGAGGCCCCGCCCCTAAGTGGGCGTGTCCGGCGGCTCCACGGCTGGCCAATCGGCTGGCAAAGACGCCCTACTTCCCCTCCTCCCTACCGCCCAGCTGGGCTGTCCGGGCTCCCCGCAGCACGTGCTATTGTTTGTGTACGTGCGGCCGCGGCGGACCCGGGGAAGTCCGGGCAGCTAAGGATTAGGCCGCTGGGGCGAGGCCGGAGTTGACGCGCAGCATCCAGAGGCCCGCCCTTTAGCGCCGGCCGCTTTAAATTCTCCCACACTGGCCGGCTTGTGCTCACTTACCTGCTAGTCTGCGAGTGTACTTCTACTGTGCATTCCCAGGGACGCTTGTCC